GTATGGCTAAAAGTTTCATGCATCATACCTTTGAGGATATGAAGGATTGATTCAAAATTTAAAGGATAGTTTCATGACTCATATTTTTTTCATATTGCTTTAAGATTATTGACCTGGCCACATTGCTAAATTAGACTAGTGGGATTGGTTATGTAGAAATATTCCTGGAATCTTGTCCCAAATGGCGTCAAAGAATTCTATTTTTTGATACCATTGATCACTCTTATTATTTTAAAAAACTTAACCTATAACTCAATTATTTTTGATGCATTGGTCAAAACTAGTGAAATACCATTATGTTTTTATATTTGATCAATGAAATATTATTTGTGCATAGAGGTTTTGCAACTTACAAGTCAATCTCAAGTCTAAAGTAGGCTGGGTTTGTTGTATTTGACGAATGATATTCAATTGTTTAACCAAGAAACTGGTACTTAGTTTCCTAGAACTTGAGATGTATGTTGCCAAGTCAACTGCTTCCTACAGATGGGGTTTCTTAATTATCTGTTCCAGATCAGAGGCATACAATTTTGGAGCATATAGTGTACTACTTGTTTTCACGTATTCATGATTTTCATATAGTTTTTGGACGAGGCTGCAGTCCAGAAGGTATTTTTGAAGTCCTTAGACAACTACATTAAGTGGTGCAACTATCTGGGTATCTTGCCAGTGTGGAGCAAGTAAGTATTCTGGTTTAACGCTGTTTATTTTTTATGATATGTAAGGGAAGTGTTATTGCTATATCTCGTAGCATTGTTAAAAATAAAATATTCAATTTCGCCATGTATTCTTTATTCAGATTCACAGATTCTTTCAATCATTGTTTGCAGCCTTGATGTTATCAACAAGGAAAGGAAGGTGCTGTTCATTTCTTTGTATTTCTTGATATGGGGTGAAGCTGGCAATGCTCGATTTCTTCCAGAATGCTTGTGCTACATATTTCATCATGTACGAAAATTCCAGCATTTCATATAATATTGCTGGTACTACATGCCATTTAGTTTGCTGTTTGTTTTTATCTGCCCCCAAAGTAATGCCCTTTTTTATTATTTA